CAAATTATCAGAAATATTTAGAATCAAAAGCAAAAACCTTCCTTTACTTTCTCTCTCTGCCTCTATAATTCCATTCTCTAGATGAAATCTCTGTCAACACTCCCCACGGATTCACAAATACACACATATGAGTGGTTCTTTCTCTGCTTGATATTAATAAATAACCGCATCTATGATATGCTACACATATATTCAGTATATGTTTTTGTAATGCCCCGATTTCGAATCTGAGAGACCACCAAGGAACCGATACCGATGCAAAGGCACGAGGGTTTATTTGCAAGCTCGAGCTTGGGCCCAAGTATACCCGACACAGCGGAGCAGGGATTTGGACCCCTAGGTTAAGAGGCATAGCAGTTTTATAGGGGCCAGTGGCCAATGAGATTGTAACACACACAGAAAGTTGCATAGTCATGTCAGTCCACACGCAGGTGGCCAATTGAATTACAATTTACCCTATAGTAACTGTTTGAACTAGCCTATCACTCTGGCCAGAATTGGAGCGCAAGTTTGGCGAGCAAAAGGCAGGGTTTACATTCTTTGGCGGTTAGGGGTTCCTCATTCCTATATGAGCCGGTTTCCAGTAAAGGTGTGCTCAGCGGCTTGACTAGGGTGGGGGAGTGTCTTAAGCAATAAGTAGGTCATGTGGGGGTTATACATGAGACGGTGGGTATAGCACAAAATGGAGTTAGTCTTGCTCTGCTTGTCCAGGGGTAGGGGATTTTTGTTAAATTCCTTGGGTCCCACAGTTTTCTGAATGTAGAACTTCTAAAGCCAACGTACTGTAGCCGTTATCCCGTTAGCAAACTGAATCCGTATATACATTTATAATAGCTTTGCAATGGCTGCCTTCATTATTAGGAGATACCACAGTCTAATTAATCACTCTATTTATTCTTGGGCACTGTTTTCCTGTTTTTAAACATTATAAACAATGCTGCCGTGACCATCCCTAGTCATATTTTTGTATTTGTATGTGATCATTTCTACAGATGGAGTCCTAAAAACATGGAATTGCTGCTTTGAAGGTGATATACACTCATGGCAGATTGAAGTTTGGGAAATGTAGAGAAGACTCTGTGCCATTCACAGCGCACTGTGATGACTCCAGCTGGCACTCTGTTTCAGGAGTGCTATCGAAACTAGTTGTTGTTGTTGTTCATTTGTTTGTTTCAAGTGTGAATTTCGGAACATGAAAATAGAAAATACAAAACTATTTGTAGTTTCGTGTATGCTTTGCCCAGCGATTCCCCTTTTCAGGATCCATCCAGTAAAAACATTCTCATGAAGCGAAATAGCAGTAGGTTCCGCTCTGTAAACCAGCTGAGAGACAAAGGGGTTAAAGATGTTAATTAGTGGGCTGAGTGCCCCCAAGGAAAGTTACCTATAATACTTTGACAGAATTATCAGTCATGCGACTGGAGTAGAAGTTAGGAGAGCATCTCCACAGACAGGTGGGGAGGATGGGACATCTCCCTCCTGTCTTGGGAGCAGGGCCCAGCAGCTAGGACAGTGGCCCAGGCTTCTAACACTTCTAACATAATTAAGAGCTCTGAGCAAGCTGCTTGGAGATGCAGTAGTTTTGCCGACTGAGCCCACCCACCTGCAGGAGGCGCCTTACCAGGGTTTGTTCCGGGTGCTACTCAGTAACCAGAATGGCTGCCTCTTCTGGACCAGGATAAGTAGGAGTCAACTAAGAGATCAGTGTCTTTCCCCACCCTTTCCTCTTTCCTGCTCCTCTTTCCGACTTTGCTTGGCTTGAGGCCAAACTGTCTTCTAAGGAAGACAGTTATGGAACTTTAATTAGGGTTTTGAAATTCAAAACCATTAACAACCTTGTAAATTTGATAGCAATCACCAAATTGCCTTCTAAAGAGGAAGTTCTACTTCATCCTTCTTTGAATAGTTTCCTTGACACCTTGATGAAACTCATTAAGCTCATTAACCTTAGTTGTTGCCAATCTGATTTCTCCTTATTGTCTACATTTTCATAAACATTGTTATAAAAAGACACTAAAATCTTTGCACCTGTTTATGGACTATTTGTATTTCTTCTATGAAATACAAATTTCTGTGAAATTTGTATTATGCTTGCTTATGACCATCATCTTAATTTTGGCTTCCACCAGATATTTTATATGTTCGTGTGTTTAGAACATGATGAACCCTAGTTCCACTCTCCCACCTCCCCTCATTCTCCAGTTTCTGGAAGGAGAGTAAATGCAGTTCCTGAGACTGGGCTACTCAGAACTCTGAAACCTTGCAGGGACTAGCAGAGTAAGGAGACACTGCTGTTTATGAAGTTGCAAATAAGCTTTCTGATAGACCCGCATTCCTTTTCCAAGCACTCACTATACGGGGGAAATCAACACAATGGTTATTTACATAAACAAACATAGGGCTGAGATCCTGCTCTGAAATGGAGATGTTGCAGAAGTTATGGCACTGCTTAGGAGAACTAAACTGCCTTTTGCTGAAGTAACAGTTTTCCCACGCTGTAGGCAGTCGGCTCTAAGTTAGGATTTAGACTGCCTACTCCCTGTGGCTTACTCATTTTGAGATGCACATGTTCTTTAAATAACTGCTTACAGTAGATAAAACCCCAAGACAGCCAGGAGAGGCTGGCAGGATCTTCATTTAGAGTGGGAGGAGGCACAATTGTATGTAAAAAATAAAAAAGTTTAGTTTGGTCAAAATCGGTCTTGAGCCAGATTACTGTTTAGAACTGGACAACCTAAGTCTTGAGAAATGTTAGAAAAAAGAATTTTTATTATCAATGTATAAGGTGATATTGTTAAAAAAAAAAAAACGGCCTCTTGTCACTTGACGTGACTGTTCTGCTGAGGGCACAGCATTTTGAGTAGGTCTCCCCTATATGAAGTAGACAGTCCTACACCAATCATGCTCAAAAAGCCTGTTCTTGGGACAGGACATGAGGAACATGAGGATTTGGAAGACAGGACTTATACTGGGATTGAGGAAGATGTCCTAGTGTCTTTAACCTTACTCTCTACACTGTACTGAATGGCACCCCAGGGTAGTGTGGGCAACCTGGCTTGAACTTGTCCCTAGGGCCACAGAGGCCATATCCTATGAAACAATGTGATTTTAATTCAGAGACTGCGTCATCCATAAGAACCTAGCAAATGGCCAGCCTTGTATGTGCACTGCCTAAAAATTTGATTTTGGTGGCCATTCATTTGCATCACAGCTCCAATGTAGGCACTATGACATTGGGCACATTGCTTAACCTCCCAACTCTGTTTCTTCATTTCTAAGATGAGATTATTCTGGTTTACAGAATGGATGGGAGGAACATAGATGATACGTAGGCAGTAACTGACTCATAGTGGGCAGTGACTGGTAGTTAATATTCTTGTTTCCTGACCTGATGGTTTTTGCGCCAAGCAACGTGCCAAGAATTCTTTAGATCATCATCTATTTGAATCCTAACAAGCCCTGAAGATAGGTTGTATTATACCACTTTTACAGGAGACAAAAAGGAAGCACACTGACATGAAGCCACTTGCTTAAGGTAACAAGGCATGACAGTGGAAGAGGTGGAATTTGAACTAGGTTAGGGTGACCTCTGCCTTCTTGGCCACTACTACAAAGCAGCACAAAGGCCAACTAGGAATAGCAGATGGCCTCTCCCCTGAACACATGACTTTGCAGATCCCCAAATCCTAAAAAGGGCAGAGTGGGTGAAGCGTAACACTAGTGTAATTCTGAAGATCATGAGCAAGAGAAGGGTAGTATGGAACTCAGGAGAAACTAGAAGAGCAAAGCAACCTCAAGGAAAACGGACCTACACGGGCAAATTCCCTAAACATCATTCACTACTCTGGTGTCTCAGGAGCGACCTTTAAAATTACACAATTTGTGTGGCCCTCTTCCAAGGCAATCCACAGACAGGGAAAGAGCTAGGAATGTTCTGAACATACTCCCGTTTTTTGGATTGGTAAATCTGGGAAAATAACAAGTGCTGCCTCCTAGGGCTGTTGTTAAACTTAACACAAATACCAGAAGGTCCATCACAGAGGAAAGGCTTTGTTTCAGTGCGGTGACACATTGCCGCTTTGAATTATACCCAAGTCTGTGGCTCTTCTCTCTGGGGTCATTTGACGGCATGTGATTACGATGCTTAGTATGCAAAGGCTGGAGCTATTAACTGAATGTTGCTAGACAATGAATTATTTCACAAACACTGAAATATAAAATGTATTCAGAGCCATCCAAGTATGAGGACATTATTAACAATGCTTTTCTCGAGAGCGCTACTTTAACAAGAAAATGCACATCCCACCTTCGTTCTTCCCCCTAAAGTAACATCTCCAAAAGATAAAAAGCACCAACACATTTGTCCTTGAAAGGCAGAGCCCGGGAATTCTGGAGATCTGAACACCCCTCCCTTTCTGCTAGGGACCAAGCCGCCTGCCTCGCCTGGTGTCACAGAAGTCCCCGGTGCGCCAAGCAGATGTGTTTACTCCAGCCGCCCGCCAGCCCGGCGGGGAAGGGGAGTACCCTGGCCGCCCCTCACTTTCGTCCCGGCAGCTCTCCAAACAACACCAGGGCGGGATGGGAGTGTCTTCTTGGCTGTGGAACCTGATCCTCCTACCTTGTCCTGAAGCCACCCGCTGCTTTACCCGGGCCCTCCCGTCGTGGTGATTTTCCGTCCCTGACGCCCGGCAAGGGCGCGCGGCTGGTGTCCGCCCAGCCCGAAAGGTAGGGGCTCGGCTGCTTTCCTGCCTCCCTGCTCCGGGGGGCGCGGAGCCCCCACAGCCTCACTCTGCAGTGCACCTTCCTCCGTGGACTCGGGGGCGGCCGTGGTCACCGCGCGTCTGGCGCCAGCAGACGAGCAGGAGGAGCGACCCCGCGGCTCCGGAGGCGCTCGGCGCAGTCGCCTGGGATCCGGACCCCAGCGCGGAGGGCAGCGCGCGGCCGGGCGCCTCGGACTCCGCTCGGCGCCGCGCCTTCCCCAGCTCCCCCGCCTGGTCCGCGGACGAGGAATCGTGCCGGCGCTGCCCCTGACCCGGGCCACCTTCCTCCGGTTTCCGCCGGCCGCGGGCTTCGGCGGCCCGATGCTGCAGGCGCCGCGGGAGAGGCAGCGGCCGGCTGGAGCGAGCGGCGGCGGGCGGCCGGAGAGCCGCAGGCCTCCCGCCGCAGAGTCCCGCACGCCTCTGCAGTCTTCGCGCCTGGGCCTCGGCGGGTAACTCTCCCGCCGGCTTCCCTGCGGGTTTGCATTGCCGGGGCGAGGGAGGTTGGGTGGGGGGCGCGGGGAGACCGAGCTCCTGACCCTGATCCGGGCGGCCTGGGGTCTGTGCGGCCCCAGGGGCTGAGCGTCGGGGGGCGGGGGGCACGCTGAACCGACAGCCCCTGCATGCGCCCTGCGGACCCCAGAGCGTTGCGGGCTCTTGGCCCCCGGGTTTAGGGGGTGGGGGAACCGGCCCGGTAGTGGAGCCGTGGGGGCGCTCGGACCCCCAGGGCGGGAGGAGGTGTGCTGCGAGGGTAGAGGACCTGCTTTGGGACCCTCTTTCCTGTGATCTCAGGAGAGCTTGGGCACTCGAGTGTGACCAGGGTGGGGGCTCTTTGCTGGCTGTTTTTTGTTTTTGTTTTTGTTTTTGTTTTTGTTTTTGTAAAAGGGAAGGGTCTGTACTCGAACAGGAGGGACTAGAGGTCTGGAAGGTTCTGGTCTTTCAGAAAAATTTCCAAGAGACCCTCCTTCCCGCCACGGTAGAACTAGACCTAACAAAACAAGCACCGAGGCAGTCTGGGGAAAAGAGCGGCGGTGAGAAAATTGCAGTGTTTGGCCGCCGTTAGTTTTCAAGATTAAAAAAAAGAAGAGATTTGTCATTTTGAGGCCGCTTGCTCTAGAGTTTCCTGGAGATCTCAGCCTCCGTCTTGTGTGCTGTTATTTCGGCTTAAAAGAACCTCTAGAAACGATTTTCAGAAGCTGAAACCCCACACACCTTATAGGATCTTAAGCAGAAGGGGCGGGGAGGGGGGAGTGCTTGCTGTTAGAAAGGTACTATTTAAAAACTGCATGTGAGAGTGGGGGTAGGAATGACATCGTGGATGCCATCAGAAGCCACATTAACCGCAGGTTCTAACTCAAAAAAGTCACAGGCGTCTGAGTACTATGATGGTGGAGAGTTAATGACACTGCAGGACAGTCAGAAGCTTCTTTTCCTCTTTGGCTGTTCTCCCCATTTTCACGTGGATGTTCAGGTTTCTGATGGCTGGCTGTTTTATCTATGCTAGCATGGATATTGGACTTTCCGGTCTTCAAACTTACTCTCCTAGCCACCGAAGATGACCCTTTTAGTTTACCGCGAGATATTAAGTGTTTGGGAAGATCCGGTTGGCTGCCAAGTTAGTTTCCTTTTGAAAGCACACCGATTTGACATTTGGAAACTGGTTTGTGTTGCTTCCTTGTCTTCTCACCCAGGACGGCTCTTCACATTCAAATCTGCAAAAGAGGCAGATTGTCTTGTAGTCCCCTGTGTCTGAATAAGGCCAGTTGCCTCAGAGACACTTCAGATAATGGCAACTTTGGTTTACGAGAACTTTTTCAGAAACTGATTACGTTAACCCTGATCTGGCTTCATAAGCGTCCTTAATTGTTCATGTGGAGGGGAGAGGAGATGTTCATTTCTTGCTCAGTGGGGCTTCCCTGGAGCAATATTTTTACCATAATCCCTGAATGTCACAGTCCCAGAGTGCCTGCCTCCGGAGAATGGGGCAATAAAATGAGACCACGTTGCAGTGCATTTGTTGGAGATATTTCCCAATGATTTGCCCCAAATCAATAAAAATCTTTGGGGCCCAGAAAGGGATGGACAGTATTGGCACAATACCATTGAAAGACTTACTGTTAAAAACAAACAAACAAACAAACAAACAAACTCCAAAACGTAAGTCTGCCTTTTGTGAAAACTTTAATTCTCAAGTTATCCAGAGGGAAGTGACAGCTGTTTTCTTCTGTTGGAGATATTTCTGTGTTCCACATCGTGTGGAATATTCTAGGAGAGAGGTAAAGTAGTGGCGCATTTCCCATATTTCTCTGATACATCTCCTTTGCTACCCATGCAGATTACCAGTTGGCTTCCATGGGTTTTACGATTCCGTCCAGGGTTGGGGGCCAGATATCTGTTTGATATGCATTCTAGGTAATGCTTATCAAGGAGGTGAGAAAAGCACACAACTCATGTGGCATCCAGTAGGATGTGTTCACATGTGTTTTTTGTTTTTTTTTTTTTATTAGATCTTCCCACCAACTCTATGAGACGGGAATATTTAGCCCCGTTTTATAGTTAAAAAAAACTAAGATTGCTCTAGCTCAAAGGATTTAGAATGGATCACACGGAGGTCTGCTTAACCTCTGCTTTACGCCATCCCAGGAAGCCTCCACAGCATACATTCCTCACAAATTCTTCCGTTTTTTAGACCTATTGTTCACCTTTGCCTTGCACACTCAAGTTCTATATCCCCTGTTCTGAATATACTTCCTTAATTACCCCCAGGCTCAGCTTCTTGAACAGGTGGTCTGAGTACTTTATCTGCCTTTCCTTCTGAGAGCTTCAGACTTTCCTCAATTAGGTATCTTCTATCTTCTCTGCATCTTTGACAGGTCACTTTGGTGTGCTGTGTCTGGCCAAATTCAGGAGGATATGTTATCTCTAATGGATTGTGCTCCAAACATTCTTTTCATTCTGAATATATTTTCACTGACGTTCCTACTCAGCCTTCTCTCCTGGAAGGAGTCCTCCCAGGGCTACCTCCCCACTTTCACAGTTGAAAGTAACCTCTCCTATTTGTCGTGATTACAATGGATAACAGTACGTATCAGAATTTCCAGGTGAACCCTTTAAGGGTTAAAAGTAAATTAACTTGTTATCACACTGCATGTTAATTATACTTCAACAAAGATGTATTTGATTGGGAGTCAGCTTGATGTAAGGCAGACAATGGATGCATTGGATATTATGGCATGTCAGGAGGAAACTGTATTTCTGGTTCTATATTCGGATGTCAGAAGTACTGTTTCCTCAACGTGGTGAGGTAGCAGGAGTTCTTTCTGCTGATGGTGATTCGCCAGCACCAAACAAGCAGTAGGCTCTTAGGCTTGGTCAGGAACTTGGCTGCCATACAGCCAGGCTAAGAAGGGGTGAGATTCTAGGGGTGAGTTTATGAGGATAAAACAAAGTAAGGAACAGTAGGACGTGGGTCTCTTTCCATGTCCATATTTCTTTTTCATGGAGACTTTTTGTCATCCAAGGGGGAGTGGCCAGCTTCCCATTTGCTGTCACAGCCTTCTGCATCGACCAGGGAAGGGCTTTCCTTTTCTTGGGAGAGAGAGGAAGGAAAGTACCCAACCCTTAGGAAATTTGTTTTTGTTCTTGTTTTTTTTTTTATCATAAACACTGAAAAGCCAAGTGAAAGGGTGCTCTTCTTCCCCATTCTCTCTTTTTGCCCTTATACCTAAGACACAATGTGCCTAGTAGCGTGTAATGCTGGTCTTTGAAGGATTCTTTAAATCTGGAGCTACCTTTATCTGGTTGGGAATGGAAAGATCTGTAGGAGATGAGAATAGGGCCTCCAGAGGAGAACAGGAAAGGAAGCTGGAGATTCTTGAAAGGGAAGCAGCGTTACCTCCACCTTCCACAGGTTGTGGAAGCAGGTCCGGAATTGGTATGGTTGTGGGTTATGGTCACTGTGGTAGAAGGTCGAGGTGACAAGAGAGCAGAGAGTGGTTTTGCAGTGGATCTTGGGTGACTTTCTGCACAGTCATCCATAAGGTGGGACTTGAGATTTAACTAATATTTACAGAGTATCCACTACATAATAGGAGATGCTCTAGGTGCTGGTGGTGGGGGTAGGGCACCCAGTGTTGAACAAGATAGAGCCCTTGCTCTTAGAGACCTTATGTTTCTGTGGGAAATGGAGTCAATAAACAAGGTACAAATAAATGAAAAAACATGTTTCAGATACAAGCCAGTGCACCTCAGGGTTTGCTAGAGAGAAAGCTTCTTTAGAGCAATTGGAGCTTCTCTGAGGAAGTAGTTTTTGAACTGAGACCTGAATGATGAGAAGCAGCCATCAAGTGAAGAGCAGAAGGAAAAGCATTCTAGGAAGAGGGAACAGAATCTGCAAAGGCCCTGAGGCATGAATGGATTTGGGGTGTTTGGAGAACTTGTAGAAGCAGAGGATTAAAAAGGGGGAGTTTGGAAGAGATGCAGTCAGGAAGGTGGGAGGCAGTTTATGTGAAGCCTTCAAGTCTTGTAAAGGAACGTGAATTGTGTTTTAATTAGAATGGGATGCCACCAGAGATTTTTAATTAGAGATTAAGTCAGTCTTCACCCAATGGGCATGGCCTTTCCTGTTTGTGTCTCTTACTCCCTCTCCCTCTCCGCCCCCCCCCCCCCACACAGACTCGCACATGCACATTCACCCTCAGCCAGCTTTACTTCCCTCTCTTTATTGGCCATCACTGATTTCTCCTTCCTTGCCCCATGCCAGGGCACAGGCATCCACCCGGAGAATCAAGGTTCAAAGGACCCTGGACCCCGTTCCTTTTATACTCTGAGATAAATCCATACACTCACTTAGTTTCACCTTTATGCGTAAGACTGTCCATCACTAGTTCTGATTTCTCAACCTCTCTGCAGACTGAACCTCTAATTATCTCTAAGACGTCCCTGGGTTGGCTGGTGATGTCTGAAACTAGATACTGAAAATTAACTTAATTAAGCAAATCAATTGCAATTGATATCTTATGTAAGACAATGATTGTCACAAGAGACAAAAATTTAAGTAACCCAGAAACCCTTGCCTTTTCCCGAATATCTGCTCCTTCTCTCCCAGACTGACATCTACACAGTCTATTATAGGAGGTTTATGTTCTCTTTATAGTTTCAGTGGAAATGTGCAGGATTCTTGTAGTATTTGTCATGGGAATGTACTGATGTGTGAGAGATTTCATTTCTATTGGTCTCTGTAGATGATCTCAGAGTAGTAGTTAAATCATGAAGGTTTATGTCCAAGCTGATGTCTCTCAGTAGCATTGGTTTATAAGAAATGAACAGAAGCTTCCAGCATTTTATCGATTATGCTTTGACTCTAGGATAGCTCCTCATTACCAGTATGTTACCCTCTGGGGAAGCTTGGTACACTCCCTAGAGAGAAAATTGTTTTTAAGATTCTTTAGCT